GTCATGTGATATTTGCTTGCTATATTTTTTCTTAAAATAGACATTTCATTAACAAAGAGATCAAAACAACATATTTTTGGACCTTTAAAAAAAGAACAACATATTTTTGTGGTAGTTAAATCGTTTAAAAGTAAAGGATGGGGTCAAACTGAGACAATTCAATATTTTTAGAGGCAATTAGTTGAAAATAACATTCTTTAATGAATATTAAAGTACTGTGATTGCTAAGTAGCTTAGAAAATTGTAAAATACATATAAGAGAAAAGAGGAATAATTCCTTTTTTTCCCTTTAACAAAAGAAGGAAAAATAAACTAGCTTAGAATCTACGTTTTATTCTAATTCACGAGGGAGAGTGGGAACAAAAGAAATTGGAAGAGAATCTATCTCAAGCTTTTTTGTTTATAAACAATACCCATATTTTAAGACTAATTATCCCCATTTTTTTTAATGTGAATAAAACTTTAAAATAGTAACAAATGACCATGAAATATAAAGGTATTCAATTACGGACAAAAACTAGCTCTACTAGTAAAGACAAATGAGGCACATAGGTAAATACGAGTGACGAGTTTTAATGGGAAAAGATTCGCTCGGCACATTAACAATCGAGCTCGTTTAACAAAATAACTACAGTCGATGGATAAAACTAGTCAACTGAGACCAAAAGAAGTAGAACACTAGGGTCACTCACAATGCCGCATGTGAACAACTTAATGAGATAAACTTACCACCACCATAGAAAGGTGGGATAACAACTTTCATTATTAAATGACCAAAACATAAAAATTGAAAACGGCGGAATCAATATCGCCTTTATTATATCAAAATATAAACTAAGAACAAGACATAATTCCTTAGTCACGCAAACAAGACCCTTAGCGATAAGTTGGCTACTAAGATCATAAATGATAGATCGGCGAGGACCCACATGACTCCACCACTGACGTTGAGCGCTCATCCACACACAATGCCCCTTCTATGACCACCGTGATGAGAAGAGTGAGATCCTGAGATTGTAAATACGCCGGAAACCTGGCATGCACAACATGGTCGGCTAAAAAACCGGCACCTCCGTCCACGAAGTCGTCACCACCACCATAATCATTGTCATGAGACCTAGAGCCCAGTCTCTAGGGTCGAGGGTCCAACGACTAGTCAACAGGCGACACCAAACTCTGGCCTTAAAAGAGAAAAGCAAGCGGTGCACAAAGAAAAGAAATAAACTTTAGACTTCGTTTGGTTAGAGGGATGGAGAATGTGAAGATTGGAGAGAGTTATAATAATCCTTTATGTTCTTTGGTAGGAGGGGGAAGGAGTTGAGAGAATGAGTGATCATTATTTGTTTAATTACCATATTTTCTATTTTATTATTTGTTAATAATTTCTTTTGAAGGGTAAAAAAATCATTATCTTTTAATTTGGGTGGGTTATTGGATCTTTCTATCAATAGAAGAATTCAAATTGATGGGCCTGAAGGGAGACTCTCTCTCTCCATGTATCCTCTCCCTCTTTTTTCCTTCTAATCAAACAAAGAATTTATTCTATCCCTCCACCCCTCTCCCTCCCTCCATCTCTCTCGTACTAAACGTACTCTTAGAGATATAAAGGCAGAAAAGCAAGGGAGTGTGGCACATTATCTCCATTTCAATAAACATAATATACGGTTACTTTCTTTCACTGAGATATTAGCGTTTCGCGTAATTTTGATAATTGATACAATCTAATGATAGAAATTTTATAATATCGAAAAAAAGATGCATATCTAGCAAGGACCGTTGTTTTATATTTCCTAATAAAAAAAGATTTTACCGTGGGATACCTTGAATTATTGATAGTTTTTACAAGATTTAATGATTTATTTGATGAGATTGGGGGCTCATTTATTTCATGTGTTTAAACTCATGCTTTTGATTTTGTTATAATGTTTTTCTCTCACAAAAAAATTTGAATTTCAAATGCCAAAATTAGGGATGACAACGGAGTGAGGTGGGGGCGAAGAATGATTTACCATCCCCATCCTCACCCTCTAAAACCATTCTCATCCCTGCTTAAAGAGAGACGGGGACGGAGTCAGAGATTTCCCGTTGGAGGGGCCTTCCCATACCCGCTCCATTTCCCATCATATGTAATTAAGCATTTTAAAATTATTGTACTTAAAGTAAAAATAAAGCAGAAATTCAAAAAAGTTTAGACTAAAATTAAAAGTTTCTCAATACAAACTAAATTCAAAACATGTGAAAAAAATAGTTGTAGAGACAAGAAATGTCTTATTAAAAGTAATAATTAACACATATGCAAGAAGTATATGTATGTATATTTATATAAAATATATTATATTACATATAACATATGTATATCGGGGCATGGGCGGGGTGGGGGTGCTTCCTCCGTCCCCGCCCCGCTAAGATTCAAGAACAAGATTTTATCTCCGTCGCCAATTATCATCTTTCATCCTCACTTTAGTCAGTATGAATCCCCACGTGGCCCATCTCTAAGGAGAATATTGTCATCTCTAACTAAAATCAAGAATCACTAATTTAAACGCATGAATCAAACGGACCTTTAAGATTTCTTGTACTGTTACACAATTTATAAACGTTGTGAAATTTAAATCATATAGTTTAACCTAACACTCCCTCAAGAAGAAAAAAGAAATTGTTACCATAATTTTTCCTTCCCGTTTTTGTTTGAATAAAAAATTTTCCTACCCCTAATTTCAGGAAAAAAATTCTTCCCCTACTTAAATTTGAATATACTTCCTTCCGAGGGATATTCTCTTCTAGACCTTTTTTTTATTTTTGTTTCTGAAGGAAGAGTGGACTGTAAGCTGTTTGACTTCAGAAAAAGAAAATGGAAAAAAAGTTAAGGGTAAAGCGATAAAAAAAAAACCCTTACTTTTTATTTTTATTTTTATTTTTCCTTTCCTTTCCTTTCCTTTCCTTTTCCTATCAGGAAATTACAAGAGTGGTTGAAAAATACTCGGCCAGGAAATAAAAATATTAATAAAAAAAAAACGAGAGTCAGAACAAAAACGAAGTGTAACTGTTATAGTAGTACAATCTCTCTTGGACTCTACTTTGTGGCACTGTCTATAAATTGAGCGGCCAAAGCAAAGAAAACTCCATTAAAAAAAAAAAAAAAACTCTTTAAAAAAGCTTTCTTTGCTCTTTCTTTCTCTGATCACTCCGTGATTGAAAAGAGAAAAAAAAAAAACAAAAAAAACAATAGCCTTTTCTGGACTCTCAGCTTTGTCTTCTACTTTCTCGTGCAACAGATCATAAGCAACCCATTCTTCAGGAACCTTCGCGATCATATTTTTCACTTCTTTTTTTTTTTTTTCTGTTTTTCTCATCTGGGTCTCACGGGATTCGCTTTTTTCCCCAGTTTTTTTTTTTTTTTTTTTTTCCGAAATTTGGCATAAAGTCTGCGTTTTTCTTATCTGGGTCTGTATTGTTTCACTGCCCATATAAAAGGAAAGAAGAGAGATGTCGAGTCGGAACTTGGAGAAGATGGCGTCTATTGATGCTCAGCTGAGGCTTCTGGCGCCGGCCAAGGTGTCGGAGGACGACAAGCTGATTGAGTATGACGCTTTGTTGTGTGATCGATTTCTTGACATTCTTCAGGATTTACATGGAGAGGATCTTAGAGAAACGGTAAATAATGCTTTCGTTATTTTTGTTATCAAAGTTTTTGGTTATGTGACAAATTTTGTGTTTATAAACTTAAATTTGTTTGTTCTGATAAGGTTTATGCGTTATGACTTATTTTGTTGTGGCTATTTTTTGAGTGGTTGTATTTATTATGAACCTGCCCTTCATTTTATTTTAATTAATTTTTTGTGTTTTTTTAACCGAGAAATTAGGAAAAGGAAAAAATTTAGCTATGTTTTGGGCAGAATAAGGCTTCTTTTATATATATATATGTGTGTGTGTGTGTGTGTAAATGCTAAATAGGACTTAGAATAGATAAGAGAAGTAAGACTTTGTTTACATTCTTTTTCGTTCTGTTGCTAGTGGTTAAGTTAGACCAGTAGAGTAATGACAGACTTTGTTTACATTCTTTTTCGTTCTGTTGCTAGTGGTTAAGTTAGACCAGTAGAGTAATGACCAATGAGTAATTTGATTGTTCACTTTCATGGGATTTTTCTTTCAAAAGAATTACTACACTTCATTAAGTAATGAAACTATGAATAGAGTAGTTATTGCGTCGGGATGGAATCGTAGTTGTGCATTGTTTGCTGATTTTGTGTTCTGAATTGGACCAGGTTCAAGATTGTTATGAGCTTTCTGCCGAGTATGAGAGGAACTTGGATCCTAAGAAGTTGGAGGAACTCGGGAATGTTTTAACGAGTTTGGATCCCGGGGACTCTATTGTTGTTGCTAAATCGTTTTCCCACATGCTTAACCTGGCCAATCTGGCTGAGGAAGTTCAGATTGCTTACAGAAGAAGGATCAAGCTGAAGAAGAAGGGGGACTTTGTTGATGAGAATTCAGCTACTACCGAGTCTGACATTGAGGAGACTCTGAAGAGGCTCGTGGTGGATTTGAAGAAGTCCCCGCAGGAGGTTTTCGATGCATTGAAGAACCAGACTGTGGATTTGGTTTTAACTGCGCATCCTACTCAATCCGTCCGCAGATCGTTACTTCAAAAGCATGCAAGGTTTACTATCCTCTTATCTAAATTTCCCTTTCTCCATGAATGAAAACTTTTATTCAGGAGCGAAAAAGTAACAAAAAGAATTTTATAACCATTGACAAGATGAGGGGGAAGGGGGAAAAAAAAGTGGATAGGGTGCAGGGACATTGACCATTTAGGATATTTATTTGACATTGTGTTGCATTGTGAAATAGAGTTGTTTTGTACTATCTGTTAAAAGAGTTTGATGATCATTTATTTTTTGTATTTTGATGTTTGTGTTCTTTTTCATCCTTTCAGGATAAGGAATTGTTTGACGCAGTTGCATGCTAAGGATATAACTCCTGATGATAAGCAGGAACTTGATGAGGCTTTACAAAGAGAGGTATGTAGATGTCAGAAAATCTCAATTGTTACGACCTTTGTTTTTCTGTGACACTGAAAAAATGAATATCACACAAGCATGCACAATCTCATGATCAATTAACATTGTGTTATACATCATATTTTGTTCTCTCATCCAGATTCAAGCTGCATTTCGTACTGATGAAATTCGAAGGACTCAACCCACCCCACAAGATGAGATGCGAGCAGGCATGAGCTACTTTCATGAGACGATATGGAAAGGTGTGCCAAAATTCTTGCGTCGTGTTGACACTGCCTTGAAGAATATAGGAATAAACGAGCGCGTCCCTTACAATGCCCCTCTTATTCAATTCTCTTCTTGGATGGGTGGTGATCGTGATGGTAAGCCTATTTTGTCAATAGTTTGCTATCTATTAATCTGAGGTTGAATATTGTCTCATAGTTTTCAAGGAATGACACAAACTTAGTCTTCACCGAAAATCGATTTATAAGTGTGTGCACTTTTCCTCACTTTTTGTAACATATTTTATCGTGATGTTTTTTCTAATTATGTATCTTCCTGACGTGGACAGGAAACCCCAGGGTAACACCAGAAGTTACAAGGGACGTATGCTTGCTGGCCAGAATGATGGCGGCGAATTTGTACTTTTCCCAGATTGAGGATCTTATGTTTGAGGTACCAGGAAGATAATTTTGGTATCATTCTTATTTTATTTTCTTTCTTTGTTTATTTACTTATTTGTTTTTATATTTAATTATTTCCATAAGCAGTTGTCTATGTGGCGCTGCAACGATGAACTACGCACTCGCGCTGATGAAATTCACAGCTCCTCAAAGAAAGATGCAAAGCACTATATAGGTAAGCAACATTGACATATAAATTTTGATTGCCTTATTGTAACTCTCTTTTTTTTTTTTTTTTTTTTTTAAACGTGGAATAACTCTTATATAACCAATGCAGAGTTCTGGAAAATAATTCCTCAAAATGAGCCCTATCGTGTTATCCTTGGTGGTGTGAGGGACAAGCTTTATAACACACGTGAGCGAGCTCGTCAATTACTTGCCAATGGATTCTCTGACATTCCTGAGGACACCACTTTTACCAATGTTGAGCAGGTCTGTCTTTAACTGCAAAACTTTTTAAAGATTGGCTTATTTCAACAATACGTTCTAAATGTGTTGTTAGAGCGGATATACTCATTGATTTGTATGTTTTTTTCTCCTCCATTGTAGTTCTTGGAGCCTCTTGAATTATGTTACAGATCGCTTTGCTCTTGTGGCGATAGATCAATAGCTGACGGAAGCCTTCTTGATTTCTTGCGTCAAGTCTCCACTTTTGGGCTTTCACTCGTCAGGCTTGACATCCGACAAGAATCAGACAGGCACACTGATGTCATGGATGCGATAACAAAGCATCTCGAGATTGGATCCTACCGCGAGTGGTCTGAGGAACGCAGGCAAGAATGGCTCTTGTCTGAGCTCCGTGGCAAGCGACCTCTCTTTGGCCAAGACCTTCCGAAAACCGAAGAAATTGCTGATGTCCTTGACACGTTTAATGTCATTGCTGAGCTTTCCCCGGACAACTTTGGTGCCTACATCATTTCCATGGCTACAGCCCCGTCCGACGTGCTTGCTGTTGAGCTTTTGCAGCGTGAATGCCGCGTGCAGACTCCACTGAGGGTGGTTCCTTTGTTTGAGAAGCTCGCTGATCTTGAGGTTGCTCCGGCTGCCGTGGCTCGTCTCTTCTCGATAGACTGGTACAGGGACCGGATCAACGGCAAGCAAGAGGTCATGATTGGGTACTCAGATTCCGGAAAGGACGCCGGACGATTATCCGCTGCTTGGCAGTTGTACAAGGCTCAAGAAGAGCTTGTTAAGGTGGCTAAACAATTTGGAGTAAAGCTCACGATGTTCCATGGCCGAGGTGGGACTGTTGGAAGAGGAGGTGGACCAACACATCTTGCTATATTGTCTCAGCCTCCAGACACAATCCATGGCTCTCTCCGTGTCACCGTTCAAGGTGAAGTCATTGAGCAGTCATTTGGAGAGGAGCACTTGTGCTTCAGAACCCTGCAGCGTTTCACTGCAGCAACACTCGAGCATGGAATGCATCCCCCAGTGTCGCCAAAGCCAGAGTGGCGAGCGCTCATGGATGAGATGGCTGTTATTGCCACGAAGGAATACCGATCCATAGTCTTTCAGGAGCCTCGTTTTGTCGAGTACTTCCGCCTTGTAAGTTTCCTATCAATGTTGTCATAAATTCGCATATCAACTCTGAAACTTACCACTAGTTATATTATAGAATTTCAATGACATTTTTTTAATGCTACATATCCTTCTAATGTTGGCAGGCAACTCCCGAGTTGGAGTATGGTCGGATGAACATTGGAAGCCGTCCATCGAAGAGGAAGCCAAGTGGAGGCATCGAGTCACTCAGGGCGATCCCATGGATCTTTGCATGGACGCAGACGAGGTTTCACTTGCCGGTGTGGCTTGGATTTCGGGCAGCATTTAAGCATGTTATTGAGAAGGATGTGAAGAATCTTCAGATGCTTCAGGAGATGTATAACAGGTGGCCTTTCTTCAGGGTCACCATTGATTTGGTTGAGATGGTTTTTGCTAAAGGAGACCCGAGAATTGCTGCTCTCTATGATAAGCTCCTTGTGTCTAAAGAGCTTTGGTCCTTTGGAGAGAAGTTGAGGTCTAACTATGAAGAAACTAAACGTCTTCTCCTCAAGGTAACCGACTTATATATAGTTTATTATATTGCCGGAGTTGGATTTGTTTCCAAATCTTGACCAATACTTGGTTTTAGAATTGAACAATTTACTTTTTATCGGGCAAATTGTGTTCAAAGTTTTTTGTTGTAGTGTTTATCTCACAAAAATTTGAATCTTTTTTCAAACTTTCTGTTCAAATCTATGAACCAAACGGGCATATAGTGATAAAAGAGCAACTTTTTTTCTCGTCGATAGATTAAAGATTACTAACCTTGGAACTATGAAAACTGATGCTGAAACTGTTTGATATTTGTAGGTTGCCAGGCACAAGGAAGTTTTGGAAGGAGATCCCTACTTGAGACAGAGACTTCGCCTTCGTGACTCGTACACAACGACACTTAACGTTTGCCAAGCCTACACACTAAAACGGATCCGGGACCCGAACTACCATGTGACAGAAAGGCCACACTTGTCCAAGGAATACATGGAGTCGACGAACAAGCCAGCAGCAGAGCTTGTGAAGCTCAATCCCACGAGCGAGTACGCGCCAGGCCTCGAGGACACACTTATTTTGACGATGAAGGGTATCGCCGCCGGCATGCAGAACACCGGTTAGAAGACTTGTTTATGTTTTGGTTATGATGTCAACTTCGAATGTGTAAACTAGAACCGAGAAACAATAAAAGCTTTAATAGAACGTATAATAAACTCTGGTATAATGACTCAAATACCTAGAGGCTTATTTATGGCTTTTGTAACCAAGGATTCTCCATGTTTTTTTCGCTATATAAGAAAGTTTATTCTATTTATGATTTTGGTTTTTCAGAGACATGTTCAAAATTTCTTTAGAACAATGCGTTTCTTTAAGTTCCTGAAAACTTGTTTTGCACTGATATTAATATTAAACAATAATAAAAAAAGATGAGACTAAAAAGGTTATTACTAGAAAATTTGCATAAATAAGAAATGTTCAGTTACAGTACATAATTTAAGAGCAATCTTATTTATCTGACTCTGGGATGAACAATACTCTTATAGCTTGTTTGGTACATATACTCAAAACTCAAATAATGATTCTCCTGCCGTATTTTTTTCTCATAAAGAATTTGAATTAAAATCCAAATTATGATTTAAATACACTACTCAAACGGGCTTTTACGTCCTCAACGCCTGATGAGCCCTTTTCAGCTACAAATAACTGTTGATCAAAGGAAGTTTATATTCCATGAGGTTGGTTGTTTAATTTACAACTTTCTTTCTGGGAAAGCTTGAAAGAAAAAATATTGAATTGCGTAGAAGTTGACAAATAACGGGTACCAATGCCAAGTACGTAAAACCAAATTTTTGAACAATTACCAGAACATTATTAGAACCAGTTTGCGTAAAAAATGCCCCGTTTCCATTAACTTTTACCAATTATGCACAAATATTACATCATTCTTGAGTTATGTCCGTTTCACAATATGTTTTTCTTTAGATTCTTCTAGTTTCTTGTTAGGGGTGGAAATTTCAAGCTTAAGACCTTAATACTAAAGCTAAGCCTGCCATCAAGTTCCTTAAAAGTATTTTTCTTGGATTTTTAAGTCATGTTCACAATCTCCATAAGCACCAAATTGCCTACGACAATAGTGCTATCTATTTAGCGAGCACCAAGGCAACAAATCGATTATTAGTATCACTATCACCTTATGAGTGAATTAACGATTATAAAAAGTTTTAATTTTCATTTACACCCTTCAGAAATAGGTCATGTGCAAGTTAAGTGAGTAGTTGGTCTGATTTTAATCGGTGTTAACGATTTTACAATAGTTGTCACTCACTCAATTCAGGGAAATTTTTCCACATACAATAAAAAATTCAATTACCTACAAATACCAAAGCCATCAACTCATTTCAACCGCGGGTGGGTTTAAAGTTGGGAAAATAGTAGATTAGAGGTTGAGTATTCACATTTATTCCTTTTCATTGTAAAAAGGGGTCTTCTATATGAAAATAAAAAAA